AGCGCCGCCGGGCGGGGTGATGCCGGGCGTGCAGTGGCTCCCTCGTATTCAGTTCCTGCCCTTCCCTTTAAATAACCCCTCTGCTGGCGCTCAGCGCCCCTCGGGCGAGCGTCTGGCAGGCGCTGCGGTGGCCCGGGCACCCGGAAAGGGTCGCGTGTCGCAGGTTCCATTTCCATAGGTTTCCGCAATCCCGCTTATTTTTAGAATTCCTGTCGCTCCGCAGTTTCGCGCAGCCTTCTCGCCAACAAGCAGTTGCTCTGTGAATGCGGCGCCCGGGCCCGTAAATAACTGACATCACACAGCAACTGCTTTCGCTGGCGCTTGGCCCGGGGGCTGCATCCCACCTTTTCCACACAAAGACCTGATTGTGGCCGTTGTGCTCCTGTTGTGTCTCCTGATGGCAGCAATTATGTGTCGGACCTCCGGACAGGTTGGCTACAAAAGGCAGCAGCTTCTCACCTGCTAAGCAGCATGGGTTGTAATAAAGACGTTTATTTCTTTGCTGAATTGTTTTTGCGAAAGTCAATTCAGGATGCCCTTTTCTCTTGTACAGAAGACATAGCGGGTGTTAGTTTCTGAAAGCCTCTTTTCAGGACAACCCCATTTTACAGATTTGAGATCCCAGGAGGCAGCTTTAAATATCCAGAGGAGAGCAATTTTTCGCCTACCTTTTTTACATGCAGCAATCGTCCTTGTTCACTCATCAACTCTGAACTTCTCAATAAATCAGTATGTTTTACTACATTTTGACAAAAGCAACTGTTCAGTAGCGCTTTGTTTGGATAGTGCCTGGTTATGTAGGGCCATGATTTGGTCAGCCTCTCTGGACAGGAGTGATCTTGGTTGGGGTTGAAAAATAGAATTTCTGACCCATAAAAGCTTTTTCTTTAAGGAGGACAAAAAGAAGTTAATGCTCACTAGACTTCTAATATTAAGCAGGGTGGTGTGTAAATGGGAGAGTCAGTGGCCATACTATGTCTCCTTTGGATTTGATATAGAGAAACTATTAATGGCTGCTCTCAGAAGATTGCAGGGTCTTCCAAAACTTTATGATTAAGCTCTGGTATAAAATACTTGCTTTAGTGCTTGATTTAACAGCTTTCCATGGTTTCAGATGGCAGTCTTCTGCTGTCAGCCTGCCTGCAATGGGTAGGGAGATAGTAAGATAGTCATAAGTACCTTTTTTTTTTTTTTTCCCTCCCTCTTGCTTTTTTCCTTCTTATTCACAGATTGAATAAAACTGTTTCCTGTCTCTGGAGGAACTACATTCCAGGAAGTAAAAGCAAAAGTCTTGTGTGATTGCATTTTTAGGCAAGATTATTTGTTCTTAGAAAATAGACTTTGAAACTTCTTCAGTTAGTTTTGATGAGTTTCAAGACTTTTGTTTTATGAAAGAGACCTATCTATGTGAAGACAGGATTTTTTCGTTTGCTGGTTTGTTTTCTCTCATTTGCAATGGCATTGTAATTAGAACTCAGATTTCAGTTTTTAATTTGGGGGAGTTTTTTTTTTTCCCCTCCAAATCTTACCTGTCTGCAGGAGACTTAAAAAGTGTGCGTGTGTGTATATATATGTTATTTTGCAAGCATGGATTTTTTAAAACTATTGAGAAAGCTTTCTTTTTCAACTTGTTTTCTTGTGCTACTGTTAAAAGCAAAACATACTGAGATCTTGGTAAAGTTTGCTCTCTGTTTTTTTTTTTGCAATGTGTAATTCTGTGTGTGGCAAGTAGGTTGTAGTCGAATTGAAGTCAACAGTTCACTGGGCTTTGCAGCATATTAGGCTAAGTCTTCTTTCACCATAAGCCATACATGCATATTTAAAGGCAGTTAGTCCTTTTCATTGCCGTGTGTGTCAACCTGAAAGTATAACAAGATTTTAGGAACTTGGTGGGAACTGAAATGCCTTTATGGCAAGGTAAAACTCATCTGAAAACCAAAGTACTTGGGTAAAGGAGAAAACCAGAGCTAACAAAGCAAGCAGAAAAATTCTATCTCCTTTCAACCCCTCTAAATTAGTTTTAGGTCAGTTGATGCAACAGTGGTCATTGGTAACGTGCGGTTACTGTTTGCTGTTGTAACGGATCTTTAGGATTTGATAGCTGAAAGTTTATAACTCTTCAGACAAGTGAAGCTGCCGTTTGGCCATGGGTTGAAGAGTGTCAACTGGTGACCTCAATTAGCTCTCCTACTCTGCAGTCAGCATAAAGTCTTCGTGATGAAGACAGCAGTTATTTGGCACAACTGTGGGCCGTGATACCATTTAGTTGGTCTTTTTGTAAAGCTCGATAGCCAAAAATAAAAGTACTTTAAAATAGCTTCGTATTTTCTTACTAAGTAGGGAAATTGTAGGGGTGGACTTAACAGCAAAGAGGAATGGTAACAGTTGTTACTGCCTTCCTTTCCTGTGCTGGCAAAGGTGCTTTCCACTCCCATCGAGAACAACAGAGAGGAGGGAGAGGCTGTTGTACAGAGGGTGGCTGCCTCCTTTGTAAAATATTGAAAAAATGCTTCTGTTCGCACGTAGCGTGCATTCTTGTGCAAATGCTTCTATGAGGAAGTAAGGAATCCCTGCTGTATACTTACTGCTGAGGAGAAGTTACAAAAAATGGTACGATGTAAATCTGCTGTCTCCACATTAAAATGAGTATAGATAGTTTGGGCCTATTGCTGTATTAGAGAATTAATTCACCTCTCAGTTCTCTGCACCTATAATGATGAGATTTACAACAGCTGGTTAATTATCCATTTCAGTATTGATTCTCACTAGGTTTAGCACTTCATGTTCAAAACAGTGGATATACATGAAAGCTCTGGGGGACAGGCATATCTTCTGCACCAAAAGTGAGTCATGCTTATCCACCAGAGGTACAGTTTCTAGGCAGCAAATTGGAACACAGGTTTTTCTGGGGTATCTAGCCCAGTTTTTGTAAAACATTATTTATGGTACCTGAAGAAGGTGCCAAGCAGCTTGTTGTGGATAACAACCTCGATATATGGTTTCTAGACTCTGTGAACACTTGTAAAAGATGGTGTCTGAATAGCTCCTGTGTAAGAACTTAGCAAATTTTGAATATACATTCTAATTGAACCATTTTAGGAAATTTTGAATCTGACAGATTTGTGAAGAAACGTAATAAAAATATTTAGTTATGAGAGATTCATTTACTTTTATTTAAGAATGGGAAATATGCTGCATATAATTTAATCTATAGAAGATGGGGTTAAATGGATATGTATTGTGTAGATATGCATATTTATTTAGGTGGCAGAAACATGAGTGTGCAGTGAATATGACTTACTGTGACTGTGCAGAGAAATTGTTCCGGCGTGTGTGGTAGGTCTGATCCAAATCACGTTTCCAGTGTATGGGGTTTGTGCCTCGTGTCTGGCAGCTTATTTAGACTTGTAGCCTGTATCTAGCCAGTTAGGAGGTATCTACAATAAATGGCTAAAGTTGTTCTCTCTGGGCGTTAGGGAAGAAAATACATATGTGTATTGTGGATGCATCTGGGAAAACCTGTGCTGTATAATAGTACGAAAAGCATCAGCATCACCATTACTTTTTTATCAAAAGGAAAAATCTTTATCTGTAGGACCTAGAGTTGTATAGATGGAAACCTAATATGGATTTGTTCTACCATCTTTTCAGACAAGAGGCTTGGGAGGACAGCAAGGTACCTTCTGTTCTCTTATAGTATAGGGGGCAATGTGCTGTTGAGAAACAAAAGCACATTTGATCTAGAGGATGTGGTGCTACAGGAATAAAAGTGCCCAAAAAAGTAATATTTGAATTATATATTTTGACGAATTGAAGCTTGTCTGTGTGATGGCTGTTGCTGTGGAAGTACCTTGATGTACATTCGGGAATTAAAAGGTTTCACAGAGCAGCATCTTTATAATCCGTAGGAAGTTATGAGGAATGTGGTTATGAAGAATTTTTAAAAAGGCTTTTCTAAAGATATTTTCTGGCTTCTTTGTCTTTAGTCCATTTAACTAGAATATGAGATTTTCTCTCAGCGTGGCTAACTGAACACATTTATAGATTTGGCACGAAAAATAATAGGATCCAAAAATTGCTTAAAATTGCAACATCTGTTTTTGAGCTTTGAACTGCAAAGGTGACAGCCTCTCCTGCTCCATGTTTTCAGTTGTTGCCAGTCTGGTATAAGGATTTGTTAAATAGACCACGCAATGAAAAACATCACAGTTATACCTAAAATGCTAGCATGTCTGTAATTTTGCCTGACATGTAATCATCAGGCGTGAACATAATTTCTGGGTTATGCTGCCCTTGAATTCTTTCTACCCAGTGACTTTCCATGGATAACCTATAACAAAACTTATAACAAAGTTTGAATTTGTTACAGTCTGAGTATATAATTGTTGTTTGTAATTGAGTGATGGCATGATCTAAGGGAAAAAAGCTCCTGGCTCTTGTAAGGAGACTTAATCTCCTCTTCTTGTTCTCTTTGGGAAAAATATTTGCAACTCAAAAATATATGTTTTTTCCCTACCTGATAATCCCCGAGTCCCACTCAGATCTTCATGAAGTCTTTGAGGGAATTTGGTGGCAATAGGCTTTAGAGCATAACTGTATGGGCATAATGACTATTAAGTAGAAGTCCTAGGTCATACTGGTCTCTTACGAAGATGTTAAGAGAAAACAAAGGCACAGTTGATAAATGTTCGAGATACTTGTTTATTTGCTGTTACATAAATGTGTAAGATATAGCTAATATTAAGTTGTAGTAACTATAATATTGTCTTATAAACACACTTTATCTATATGGTTCTAGTCTCTAATGTGCAAGTACACCTATTTTTTTGCTACCTACTAACTTAAACAGCAAGTTTGGAAAATTGTGCCACATAATGTAAGAGCATGTTTGTGCTTCAGTCATAACCAAATATTTATAATCATAGTAGGGCTCAGTGAAATTACAATTTATGAGTGTCTTTAAATTATGGTTGTATTTACTCTTATTACAAACTTCTTCTATAGAGAATGGTCTCCTAGATATTTTTTTTCTGGCACTAGGGTCTACTTAAGTGATAATTGCAAAGACAAAAACTATGTATGTATTACATTAATTATCCTTAGACAGCAGACAGCCATGCTTTTGGAGCTTCACCCTTGCAGCAGTGCAGCTCAGCTGCTTTTTAATACAAGTAGTGTGATTCTATGCTACTTAACATTTTAAAGGGAAATACAAATTGTTCATGCAGTGGCTTCTAGCCAGCCTTACCCACTACTGTTCCCTGGGCTCAGCTACTGGTCCTTCTGCAAACAGACTGCGGTTGCCAGAATATTGTTGACACCAACTTGTAAGGACCACGAGTCTCCCATGTGCCTTAAAAGTTTAAAACCCCACAGCCATTGCTTCTAATTATTGGAAATACTGTAGTGCCCCTGTGAGCTACTGTAACACCTGCTGATTGATCAGAAGCTGTGTGCCAGGCACGGTGTGATTGCAGAGCTGAAAGGTGGTTAATAACAGCTTATGCTTTCCTAAAAAGTAGCTACATGAACAAGCATATAAACATTCTTATTTTTTAGTTTTTATCTGAAGATAATGCTGTAAATTCTCTCTAAATTTGTAGTGAAGCAACTGGATTCAGTCATGTCAAATCCATGTCACGCAGATCCATTTTAACTCTGAGTTTCTAATATTCAGTAACTAGTTACAGGAAACAGTAATATCTTGGGTCCTGTCTGTAAATTTTTGTCTTGAAAGTAATTCTTTAGTTCAAGACAAAGGCTTCATCAATTGCTGCTTGGTGCCGTCCTTTGCAAAACCTTCCTGGAGGCTTTCAAAGTGTCTCCTGCTGCACTTCTGAAGCCTTTCTGAACAATGCAAACTGTTACTAGCCATAAGAGGGGAGTTAGGTTGTTGCCAGAATGTTCTATTCTCTATGTTTTCAAGAAGCTGTTGGTTCTTGTTCCAGTAACCTTGCAAACTGTTCTTCTGCTTATTTTAGTATAGTTCCTAGGAGTTTCATAACTAGCCTTAGTGTATAAATGCTTCTTTCGTAAGAAATGTCAGCTGTGATTTTACGGAAGGTGGTGGTTTTACTCTGGATATGTGGGACAGGGTTTTTACCCCCACGCTCCCTGTCTTTCTTGCCTAGCAGATAACGTAGAGCTCTCTCGCTATTCCAGGTTTTGGTCGGAAGGATGTAGTTGAATATTTACTTCAGAGTGGTGCCAATGTCCATGCTCGAGACGACGGAGGCCTTATTCCTCTTCACAACGCTTGCTCTTTCGGTCACGCCGAAGTTGTCAATCTTCTCTTGAGGCATGGCGCAGATCCTAATGCTCGGGATAATTGGAATTACACTCCTCTTCATGAAGCTGCCATTAAGGGCAAGACAGATGTCTGCATTGGTAACTTTCTCCCATTCTTCCTGTGATGGACTCATTTCTTTTGTTGTTTTAAAAAAAAAAAAAAAAAAAAAGTTTAGAAACTTAAACTCATGTGGCAATATTTTCTGGACTGGGATATTTTGGATTTGGGAGTGTTTTAGTCACAGTCTTTCAGAGGAAATTGCCTACTGTCAGGCTATGAATGTTCCATTTCCGCCCTCATCTCATAAAATGTGTCTAGGCATATTTTGCTAGTTGAACTGTCACAAGCAATGTTTAGGAATTTTTAACATGCAGAGATTGAGAGAGGAAGTTAGGACTGATAACTGTTTTTTTTTTTTCCTTTCATTGCTTCCTGTTTAGATAAATGATAGATCTTGTAAGCCTTATGGGTTTGCCTGCTTTACAGAGTTATTTTCTCATGGAAACTTTGCTGTTTTGTAGTATTGCTGCAGCATGGTGCTGAACCAACCATCCGTAACACAGATGGGAGAACAGCTTTGGATTTAGCAGATCCGTCTGCAAAAGCAGTGCTGACTGGTGAGTGATAATCTGTATGTTCAGTTAATTTAGAACACACTGTGGCTAATATCACTTGAAGATTATACAATATTCTGTTTTCTTCCTGTGATATTAGCTTTGTAATTCTAAATAGAAAATTATTCTGTGGCCTTTGGCATTATAGAGTGTATTCAGTCATGGGATTCTGAATAAGTAGTTTATTATGCTAGCTCAGTAATGGGATGTAAAATTTTTAGCACTTTTGACTCCCTAAAATTTTGGAGGAGGAGGCTAACAATTACATTTCTGTTCATAAACTTCACACATACAGCTATTTAACAGCTAAAGAAATTCACTTTCTGCTTTCAGGTGAATACAAGAAAGATGAACTCTTAGAAAGTGCCAGGTATGTATTTCTATGGAAGACATCTGGAATTTAATTACATTTTCAGAATTGTCTGGTGGTTTGCGTGTAACGAATATGTATATATTAGTTTTTGAACTGCCTTTCCCTCTAGATACTAAGCCTGGGCTGTTTGTGAATAAAACTACTATATACATACATTTTTATTTGTCCTTTAATGCAGACAGTGCAAAGGGGAATATATAACTTTAGAGCAAATTTGTAGAATGTAACAGCAAGCAAAATCACAAGAAGATAATTAACTAATAGCAATAGATATAAAAATAATTCTACTTATTTCATGTCTTGCTTTTTAGGAGTGGAAATGAAGAAAAGATGATGTCTCTTCTCACACCATTAAATGTTAACTGCCATGCAAGCGATGGCAGAAAGGTACTTTTTTGTGTCTAAAATCTGCGTTAATATTAGGTTATTCTTAACAATTTCAAGATTACTGTTAGTTTGACCAGGTTTTTAAGAATGCTAAGCGTGGATTCTGTGTATTAAATATTTTTCTTGGGTGGGGGGGAAAAATGTGCTAGCTGATGATGCTTTTTAACCTGAAAAGGATTATGGAAGTACTTCTATCTAGGAAAAAATGCACTAACATCCTCTTAATTTTATACTTCATATCTGTAGTGGGAAAAAAAGGAAGCCTTTCATAGATTGCTCTAGTTACCAAGTAATAAAGAAGTAGATGTAGGCCCCTTTTTCACCTAAAACCATAGACAAGTTACTGCTGCTGTTTCAAAATCAGGTTAATTAAAATGGTCAACATTGGTAAAGATAAATTTTCAAATATGCTTAAAATCTCAATTAAAAAAAAATCCGATAGACCCCAAACTAAGTCTATAGCCTACTGAAGCTGAGTTGTTTAATTTTGGTATCTGCATTTTCTCTATGCGTGTGCTCTGCCTCCTTATAGTTGGTTAATTTGTTTGAACCTGTTTTGCTGTGTTAGACTTTGCTGTAAGATTCTGGGATCTCCAAGATGCCTAAGCATCTCTGTTTTCTCACCTTTTGGCATGAGACTGAACCTTTGGAAGTGTACAGAGTCACTGAGTTGATGAATTTGTAAATGAAGAGTTTGTGAATTCTGTTGCTTCTTAGCTGTGTGGTTGGTGGTGCCGCCTGGTGTTCCTGAGGGGGTTTGCTGGAAAGAGTATGAGCTGATGCAGCAGAGCTGACTACTCTCGGGAGGGGGAGAAGGTAGCAACTGCCATGTTTGCCATTAACTTAGGGACTCACAGGTGGATAACCAGCTCTGATTTCTAAACTTAATCTGTTGATTGTCAGGGAGACCTATTCATAATTGATCAGTCAGTGCTTGTGGACAGCCTTCTTAACTCCACTTTAGTAGGACTTGCCTGTATGTTATAGCCATAGTAAACTAAAAGATAAAGTGGATTGTAGGACTCAAATATCTGTTAAAAGGGCTTTCTTTGCCAGAATGTATCAGTGATTAAATAAATCTAGGATTTGTATGCATTGTAACTAGAAGAGTAGTCAGTAAAGAATTAATATACTTCATAAATGTCTGGCTCAAACACGCTTTGGAGGGTGGTACAAGCATTTTAAAGCCCTCCATATTAGAACTGTTAACAAGTGTTGGGGGAAAAATATTTTGTGTTGCTGATTACTTCTGCATTCTGCCTTTTCAGTCGACTCCTTTGCATTTAGCAGCTGGATATAATCGTGTTAAAATAGTGCAGCTGTTACTACAGCATGGAGCTGATGTGCATGCTAAGGATAAAGGGTAGGTTCTTTTTTTTCTGAGTTCAGAATAAACAAGCTGTTCAAAATTAATCTGTATTAAAGAATATTAATGATTTTAACCATTATCATTTTCTAATTTAAGGCCATTATGCCATATTTTACCTTTCTGTCATAACAAAAATACAAAGTACGTAGTCTTAAGTCTTGAGAAGCAGCACCACCCAACTGAACTCACCATGCAATAATGCTAGGGCTTTTTAGGCTACATTTTAAAGTATCTCAGGAAATCCAGTGAAATATAGGCATGTAAGTTTATTTCCATTGCATGAAGCACAATCACCTGTCTTTAAAAAAGTGTATGTACATTAAAGGTTGTGGAATGCAATGTTTTCATACCGCTTCAAAGATGCGTAAGTAGCTGCCTGACCAGACAACTTCAAGTGTCCTTGAGGTTGAAATTCAGTTTTGTCAGTCCTCCCTCCCATAATAGCGCACAGTGAAAAAATTCACTTTGGGCAGCATCTCAGTTGCTCCTAAGACAGCTCAGTTGGTAAGAATGAAGACTGGTTTAACAACACTGCACCTCTGCTGTCATTGCAGATTGGAGCACATTGTACTGTTACCTAAACATTAGTCAGTTAGACAAATGGAAGATAAGTTTACAGCAGTAAATTACTGTTTAATTACTGTTGCTCCTAAAAAGCCTCCTGCAGATAGTTTGTCTGCTTGAGGTTCCAGGTCTGCCAGAGGAACAATTTCATATGCAATAAGAAATTGTAAATCACTTGTATTTTTCGTCATTTTTAATGGCTATTATTTTGAGTAACACTATAGAGTTTTTCTGGGTTCTTCCTCAGCAGTCTCCTCGGTGTCATTTGAGTTGTTAGTTTTTGCAAATTTCTCAACATGCAATATACTATTATTTGCAGTGTTCTAGACAAAATTATAATGAAATGTGTAATAACACATTCCTTCCCTTCTGTTGTATGCAGAGATTTGAGACCACTTCACAATGCCTGCTCCTATGGTCATTATGAAGTAACAGAACTTCTAGTAAAGGTTGGTCTTTATCTTATGATTAAGTTAAATTAGATGATATTACTAGAGAACTGTTTGCATATCTTTTATTTTGTCCTTAGGTCTACAAAGCTTAAAAAGAATGATTGATTTGTTTTGCTGTTAGTGATAGCTAGTGATTATCCAGTTGAAACTAAATCTCAACAGTACCTTCTGCTTGTGAGGGGGCTTTCTCCTTACAAATGTGCTTTCAATTTTTAACCTCTCTTGGCTCCAAAATTGAATGTTTTTGCTACCATCATGTAACCATTCCTTCTCTTCACTCTTCCATCTCCCATGCAAAAAATAATTAAAAAAAAATGAGGAATACTGAGTTTGACAGTAGAAAAATAGAAAATAGGGCACCTAAAGTTCACTTTCTATTGTCAAACTATCTCCTTTTAGATACTTAGCCTTCATCTCTTGAGCAGCATTCACAGAGCACATCTTTATCTTAGTGAAACTGTTCCCTGCGGATTTTTTTTTAGAGACAAAAACCAGCAGCTTATTCAAATGTGATTTGAAGGGGGTGGACTAGGCTCATCTGATTTGTCCAGTAGCAGAGCTGCTCTTTTTAGCAAAGCTGGAGATAGACTGAGGAGACCAGCCTTCCTCTGGCTTCTGCAGGTAGAGCTGCAGGGCAGTGTAAGGCTGAAAACTGCAGTGTGTTGAAATACTCTGTCAGTGGAGATGTTACATGAAATATGAATGTGTCAAGAATATCTCAAAGTGTTTGCATACATGCATTGATTTTAACCATCTATTGTGTTGAAATTAATGACAAAAATCTTTGCCTAAAAATCTGTTTTTGATAATGCATCTTTTTTTTTTTTTTTTGCCTTTCAAGCATGGAGCATGTGTGAATGCAATGGATCTGTGGCAATTCACCCCTCTGCATGAAGCAGCTTCTAAGAACAGGGTGGAAGTGTGTTCTCTTTTGTTAAGTTATGGTGCTGACCCAACACTCTTGAACTGTCACAACAAAAGCACCATTGACTTGGCTCCAACGCCCCAATTAAAAGAAAGATTAGCATGTGAGTATAAAGTGAGCTCAGTTCTTCACTTATAGATTGTAATATGCACCTAGGTTTTCTAGACAGTGAAATGCCAGGAATCATTTTTGGAAAAGGCTTTTACTTTTCAAGCATCTGTGTTTGACAGTACCTTTCACTGTTTAGATAACAGCTTTGTATAATTTGAGATTGCTATATTTTTTTTCTGAACATAGGCATTTTAAATAGTTTTCTCTCAAATCCTAGAGTCATCTGTTTGCAATGGCTTTTGTAGCTTTTTTCCCTCAATACACTCTTCCCTTCACAACCTTGCTAGGACCCTTTCATTTTCCTCACTTGTTCTTGTCTCTGCAACAAGGCTGTTGAATTATTTCTTTATTGCACGGTGTTATTTGAACAGAAGAAAAACTTTTAATTGCTTAGAATGCCAAATACATGTGTTTTTGAGTGCACTGCCATGACTAAAACTTCAAAGAAATTGAGGGCATGTATTTATTTTCTCAAGCAGACTTCAAGGGTTGATTGGAATATCCTCAGTTTCTGTCTAAGTGGACAAGCAGTAACTTTCTGGAGAAATACAGGCATGACCTTTGCATACCGTGTTAGGCCACAGGTTAACAAGTAGATAAAAGTTTCCAAAGGGAGGTTGGGAATAAAGACTAGCAACTAGATAAAAGTTTCACAAAGAGAGGTCGGGAATAAAGGCTTATTGATATTTGGGCTCATACAAAGAACCCAGAACAGTGCTGAGTGAAATCGATCTTGTTCAGACAACTTGGATGCCTCTGGCTTTGGTTTGGAGGCAGTGAAGATAAAGGTATGTTCCCGTATTGCTTTGACTTACTGGCTCATAAATTTTGTCAAATGATTTAGAAGATTAGATCTCTGATTTTGAAGTGTGTGTATAGGGAAACATACCCTTTACCTATCTTACCAACCAAGAAAATTAATATTTTTTTCTAACTGAAAGTAGCAATTCTCTTGATTCTGCCAGAATTAAGAAGTGGATTTTTTTTTTTTTTTTTTTAAGATGAATTCAAAGGTCATTCACTGCTACAGGCTGCAAGAGAATCAGATGTAGCTCGCATAAAGAAACATCTTTCTTTGGAGACAGTGAACTTCAAGCATCCCCAGACACATGAAACAGCGTTGGTAATGTTCCAGGATCTGTTATCTATTTTGCATATGTTGTGGCTGACCTAAAAATAGTAGTCTGAACATTTTTGTGCAACAGAACAATGTAATTCAGATGAAACGGAAATATGCCTTATCTAATAGAAAGATTAAGTAGCATTGATTTATATTTTGTTGCTTAAAGTTAATGTTAAGACCAATCAATTTTGCTAGTCTTATTAGGCTATTGAAATTGATTTTCTCTTTTTCACCAGAATAGTCTATTTCTAAGCAGCAGCAAGCTGCATGTTAGCTTTGGGTTTTTTTTAAGGCCTAAACTTTTTCACCAATTATTGGAGGGAGGGTGTTGGAATATACCAGAGTAAATCCATGAGCCCATGTGGAATCTCTTGAATTAATAAGCTTCTACATGTGTTTTTTGTTGTTGTTTTTCTGTTGACTTTGCATAGAACTAGCTCTTAGCTTTCAGCTGATCAGCGAGTAGTGAAATTTGTATACCGTGAGTTAGCTGCTAATGCTACAATTCTGCAATGTTTCAGCACTGTGCTGCTGCATCCCCATATCCAAAGAGAAAACAAGTGTGTGAATTGCTGCTGAGAAAAGGAGCCAACATCAATGAAAAGACAAAAGAGTAAGTGGTTACAAGTAAATAAGCCTAGCTGCTTGTTTAGGAGATTTTACAGAATGCATTTTTAATGATTTTTCTTTTGTATATAACAGCTTCTTGACTCCTCTGCATGTAGCATCAGAAAAAGCTCATAATGATGTTGTTGAAGTAGTTGTGAAACATGAAGCTAAGGTATGAGTCACTACTTACGCTTTTTTGTTTAGATTCAACTACTATATGTGTTTTCACAGCATAAGAAAGAACAACTGAGTAAACTGGGGTCACAAAGTTTGCTAAAATAATCGGGCTTTGGAAGTTTATACATTTTTATATACATAAGAGGCTATAAATCCATTAATACAGCATTGTACTTTAAGTAGGTAGACCATGATGTGTAGTAAAACTACAGTAGAGGCAAAATGTTAAATCATACAAGATGGAGTTTGGACCGGTTTTCTTTAAGAATAATATACATAGGAGATGTTCTCTGCGTTGTTTGAATGGTCCAAAACTAGGAGTCAGCGGTATCTTACGGATTTTTTTAATACAATGGATTGCTGTGATACTTAGGCAGAAATGATCAAAACCAGCAGGACAGTAGGGAAGATAAGCATGTTTGGCAGCAGAGCTAAAAATTATTAAGCTTATCTTAGTTACTTTGATTGCTTAGTTAAAGTCCTCGTTCTGAAAGACTGCAATAAGCTGTAACAGTTAAAACTGTCCTGTTTATTTGAGAAAGAATGTGTGCTGTCATGAACAAAACTAAGACCTATTCTGTATGTGGTAAACAGGCTGTAATTGTTTGTTTAACTCGCACTGTGGATTATTCAGTGTCTTCAGTGAGTGCAATTTTATAAAGCCAAAGCACTTTGTAAAGTTATCTGCCTTTGGAAATAGGCTGAATATTTTCCTTTAATTAAAGTGAGAAGAGTGTGAAATCCCATTGCTCACCAAAGAAAATAGCCTTTGTATTAATTTTGATGGTATTATTTCTGGTAATGATGTATTCTCAAGATTCTGTATAATTTTTAGGTTAATGCATTGGATAATCTCGGTCAGACCTCTCTTCATAGAGCTGCACATTGTGGTCATCTTCAGACGTGCAGATTGCTACTGAGTTCTGGATGTGATCCTTCCATTGTGTCCCTGCAGGGCTTTACAGCCTCCCAAATGGGAACAGAAAGTGTGCAACAGCTATTGCAAGGTACAATTACTTTATTTAGCATTCACTTTTAATGCCCTGTTGTGTTTCATTTTACTTGCCAATTCAAGCGCTACCAAGGAATAATAGCGAGCACAGGCAACAAAAATTCCCTAAAAGATGAAAAACTGGTTTGAGTTGCACAGTTCTGGGGATGCTTTACCATGTGCACATGTTAAGTGTCTGCCATAGATGTAATTAAGGGTATGTCTTACTCTGTAGCATTCAACTACACAAGTTGTCAGAGCTGCTCAGAAGGTTTAATTGTGCAGCCACCTGGAATTGTTTTGGAAAAGTCCTGAGGTGGGCAGGGCTGAATCTTCTGAGCAGAAAATGAGGTTCAGAAGTTAAAAACTGTTACTGTACATTTGTGAACAAAGGCAACAAAAAAAGGAATGTCCATGAATAAAGTTTGGATGTTACACACTCACAGATAACTTTCCTAATTTGGAAACTGAATAAAAATATTTAATTGGTTCTGAACGACTCCAAAACAGGCAGAAAACATGCTGCTAAGGGCAGCTTTGATATGGCTTCAGAGCCTTGCAAGCACTGTTGAAGTAACAGCTACAGTTACAGATCATAAAAGATGAAACATTGTCTATAGCCGATTAACCCCTTTTTAAGGGCAAATACATGAAATACTCAAATGATTTCCTGTCTTAACAAATTCTTTGACTACCTACTGTTAACTATCATACAATACCATTTCTTTTGCAGAGGGTATCCCACTAGGTAATTCAGATGCAGATCGCCAGTTGCTGGAGGCTGCAAAGGCTGGAGATGTGGATACTGTAAAAGTAAGACTAAAGCATCCTAAATATGACAGGGAATTTTATGACAATCTAGGACTTCTCAAATTCAAATAAAATAACTCACACTTCCTTCCTCTCCTACCCCCGGAACCAGACTGTATTAGGACTATAATCCTTGCCCTAAGAGCTTTGTATTGCAATAGAGCTACAAATGATAAAATCTGACACTGATCGCATTGTAAAAGTTGCATTCAGCTTTTAAAGTCGAATTAAATTTAAAAATTTAAAAGTAATGGCTGTGGATGTGGGGAGAGGGGATGCTAAATTTTTTTGTTCTTTGAGTAAACAATTTGGCAGAAGAATCTGGGGAAACAAAGTAAAGACCTAGGGTTTACAATTATTTTTAATTAAAAATACAAATTAGATGTGTATATATAACAACATTTTATAACCAAGTTTGTGTGCAGCATTATATGTATTTATAAATGTTTTTGTTATTGATTTTCACAGAAACTATGCACAGTTCAAAGCGTGAACTGCAGAGATATTGAAGGACGTCAGTCCACACCACTTCATTTTGCAGCTGGCTATAATAGGGTATCAGTTGTTGAATATCTTCTACAACATGGAGCTGATGTACATGCAAAAGATAAGGGGTAAATATTCAAATATATGTTTTCTAAGCAAATGTAGTCCTTATTGTATATTTGTCAGTCCTTGAATATTGTCAGCAGATTTGCGTTTCATCTTTCCTCAGACATTCACTTTCTTGTTTCCATAGAAAGTTTAATTAGTGTGGAGCTGTTCAGAAAACCCACGGAAATATTTTGCAGGACTTAAGTAACCAAATAACCAAGACCCCTTTCCCCCACCCCTAGTTTGGGAGTTGTGTTTTTGTTTTGTCTGTCTTCTCCCCTGACCTTGCCCAGGCCCACTACTGGTGGCATTTATACATTTGTATCACTTGGGCTGTAGATACTGTATTAGAATAATCCGGAACATTCAGAAAACAAGAGATGTTTGTTGTGTTGTGCTTGTTAAATGCACTGCATTCCAGATTTATATCAATTTGTCGAAGATACTTTATTTTTTTTAAATGAATACCTCTATTTTCTTTTCAGAGGACTTGTCCCTTTACATAATGCTTGCTCTTATGGTCACTATGAAGTTGCAGAACTTCTCGTTAAACATGGAGCAGTTGTAAATGTAGCTGATTTGTGGAAATTCACCCCCTTACATGAAGCTGCAGCAAAAGGAAAATATGAGATATGCAAACTCCTATTACAGGTATTCCATATATTGATTACTTTTTGGAAATATTTTTCTTAGTCTGAACTGTGATTGGACTTCTAGTAAGAATTGACTTGTGCTTTGTGTTCCTAAGTGACTGTAGTTCCACATATGTTTTCAGTAGAGGTATCCTATTTATGTCTTGCCCTTTCTGAAGCAGTGTGTGAAAGGCTATTTTTAACATATAATACATCATTGCTCTGAAAGATTTGAAAGTGTATTGAAATACCTGCTCAGTAAGAAATGAAACACTCAAGATTTAGAGACGTTTACTCTACTTATGTGTTTACCACAGCATGGAGCTGACCCCACAAAGAAAAACAGAGATGGAAATACTCCTTTAGACCTTGTTAAAGATGGCGATACTGATATTCAAGACCTACTTAGAGGAGACGCAGCTCTACTAGATGCTGCTAAGAAAGGTTGTTTGGCCCGAGTAAAAAAGCTGTGTTCACCTGACAATGTCAATTGTCGGGACACACAAGGACGACACTCAACACCGCTACACTTAGCAGGTTAGTGCTTGGAATACAGTTAAGAATTACTGCAGCTGGATTTACTAATTTTAAGTGAGTTTAATAGCACAGTTTCAAGATAAAGGATTCCATATAAAATGTTGTTACTATTTAAAAATACATTATTTTAAGTGTTATGTGTATATTGTGTTTGTGGATGTAAGGTCTTTTTGTATCTTTTGTTCCTCCACTTTTCAGAAGTGTTTATTACTAATGGCTTCAATTTCCCATTCTCTCTAGCCTCAAGGTATCTTTTATTTTGTTTTCTGACAGAGGTTTTAAAACCAGACACTCTTATATAATGTGAAGCTGTCTTCACTAATAGATAATACACTGTCTTCATTGGGACTGACATTCTAGCTTTCATGTACTCCAGTGAATTATCATTTCTCTGCTGCCTCTTGAGAAAGTTTTGGATGAATCCATATGAAGGATTTTTATTCTGCTCTGCAACTTGAAGCTACTTGATGTTCACTGGAATTCTTTGACCTAACTACTCATTTGTCAATTTTGTTACTTCTAACATTTATTTTAATATATGTTCTGTTTACTCTTCATTTTGCCAACTTCCAGCTGGTTACAACAATTTGGAGGTTGCTGAGTACCTTCTACAGCATGGCGCAGATGTGAATGCACAGGATAAAGGAGGTTTGATTCCCCTGCATAATGCTGCATCTTATGGGGTAAATATCTCCAACCTTTTTAGCCTTGAAAAAATTGCATTACTGCATTTTATGGTCAATGTCTTCATCTGATAATCTTTCTGGAAAGCTTTTTCCGTTTTCTTGTAGTGTAACTTATTCCTGAAAAGCTAAAAAGTAACTGACTCATTCAAGTAACTGTATAGGTGAAAACTCCTCAATTGATAGAGAATCCATTTCCTGAATGCGAACATTTACCAAGCAAGTAGTTCAAGAGGTGCTCTATAAAATGCATTTGCTCACTCATGCCAGTCACTTTGTATCAAGATCTTATTCACACTACTTTGATCAAAGCTGAGATGCTACTTGTTTGTGTGGGCTTTCAGTCAGGATTTTTGTGTTTTGAGCAAGTCTTTTAATAAAATGGCTGGAGTACTTTCCAGACCAGAAGTTTGGATTTAAGATTTTCTTCATCTGTTAATGAAATCCAAGGCATTTAGATTCACCATTCTGTAGTTGATCCTCCTTTTACAAGAGAAGTCTTAACTTTTTATTGGTTAGGTTACTATAGGTCAGGGAAAAAACACCTTTTAAGAAGAGTCAATACTAATTCTGAGTTAGCTTAATATATTGTAGCACCTTGGATTTTAACATGATGTTTTATTTTTCAGCATGTGGATGTGGCAGCTTTACTCATAAAGTATAACGCGTGCGTGAATGCTACGGACAAATGGGCTTTCACACCTTTACATGAAGCAGCCCAGAAAGGACGAACACAACTTTGTGCCTTGTTACTGGCACATGGGGCTGATCCCACTCTGAAAAACCAGGAAGGACAAACACCATTAGACCTCGTCACTGTAAGTGAAGGAGGGGATCTTTATGGGAAATACCTATTTCTCTGTTGTTGTGGCAACTCCTCTAAAACTATATTTTAAAAAAATAATAATGTGGTAACTTCTGCAAAGTTTACAATGCGTTGGTTACTCTGGTGTTTATAAATGGTAAAGAAAATCAGCAGAGCCTCTTCAAACTTTTTTTTTTCAAAATTTTCCTGTTTAAGGCTTCTTATTTTAAAATAGTGCACAAAAAAGGTAGGAGGGGATCTAAATGGATGCTTTTAATTTGGTACCTACAGTTTGTCTGTTACAAAAACTGCTGTGGCAATAAAATGCCAGCAAAATTTGTAGCAGTGTAAATTCAAGTAACCATCTGGCTCTTAGGCATCCCTTAAGTATTACAATGCAATCCAAAGTTACCCTCAGAGTAACTGTGTTCTGACTCAAAAGCTTTTGTAGAAATATTGAAGGATTACTTTTTTAGCTTATTTCCTTATATTCTCTCTGTATATACATATTTATATTTTTATTTCAAAATTGTAGTTGTTTCTTTTGTCTTTATTTTTGGTATGTTTTTGGCACAAAAGGCCATTTGTAAACTTGTCTTTTTTGGATATCTATAAGTGTTATATATACTGCATTAAAATTAGAAAGTAGTTTGGAAGAACAATAATGCATTCGAGGAAAAACTGTGTGTGAAAGCATTTCTTCATTTGTAATAAATTGCCTTTTGATGTTTAGGCAGATGATGTCAGCGCGTTATTGACAGCAGCAATGCCTCCTTCTGCACTACCATCGTGCTACAAACCTCAGGTTATAAATGTGTCACAGACTACAGGATCTGCAGCTGATTCCCTCTCTTCTGTTCCATCCAGTCCATCCAGTCTGTCTGCTGCAAGCAGCCTTGACAACTTGTCTGGTAGTTTTTCTGAACTTCCTTCTGTCGTTGGTACAAATGGTGCAGAGGGAGCTGCAGTTTTAGAGAAGAAAGAAGGTGAGACCTCAGTAATAAGAATTTGCAACATAACAGAATAAGACCTAAATTTGAGGCTCTGCACAGATTTGTCATTTGACATACGCAATAGCTGTGTTCCCTATGCTGTCATTAATGTGGAACAAAAGTCTTAAAAGGAGTCACATGAACTTTGGCTCCACACCAACCCATATTTTATTACAGGATTCATCTAGTTTCTAAGGGGTTGTTTTTGGATCAGATAACCTAAAAAGGTTATTTCTATAATATGTTAGTTCTCAAAATAGTTGCTGTTTGGAGGTGAATTTCCGATAACCACTTAGCTGCTTATATTGCAGATGCCCAAAGGTTGGGCCTTTTGGCGAATGAGGGTAGAACATCCAACTCTTTTGGGGTTGGTAGCCCCAGCTGACACTTGTTAGGGACGTGGATGTTTGTGGTGGGTGTGTGTTTTGTTTGATGGGTTTTTTTGTTTGTTTTCCCCTCTAAGTCTGCACAAGGCCGAGGTTGCTGTATCTCCTTTTACTGCTGCAGCGAGTGGTGTGTACACTACTTAAGTATGTGTATGAATATTCCTGATGAGTTGTTTTTCTTCTCTAGTTTCAGGTATAGATTTTAGCATAAATCAGTTTGTGCGGAACCTTGGCCTTGAACATCTAATTGACATATTTGAGAGAGAACAGGTGAGTGGTTGTATTTTCACATACCCACCTAGGATGCCAGGGAATAAAATACTTTTTAGCATAGTGTAATTAGACAAATTTAAAATGAGTAGATGTTTCAGTTTGGATGTGGAATGAAAGAAAATACTTATTTTAAAGTGAAGCAATATTATCTATATCAGTTTGAGAGCTTTGCTCTATACTACTGTATATAGCCTGTATACAGTATTGCATACTGTATACTATGTTTGCTTTCATTGGTATAAATGGAGTCAATAAGTAAGCGATGTTGATTAGTAATTGCTGTGGTTTTTATATGTGGACTTGAATATGTTTAGAAGATGAAAATTTTTAGTCAGAAACATGGTATTTTCAAGGAATGCCAGTCACTCAGCTGTAGCTTGTAGAAATTTTAAAGACAAAAGTCTGGAGAATGCAGTGTAAGTAAAGCCAAGGACAGGAATAATAATGTCCTGTATGCATATTCCTTCCACACTTTTTGCCATAGCTATTGTAGAATATATTCACAGTGTGATTGGTAGCTGTTCTGTTTATGCTGTTGTCCAAAAAGTGATATTGCTCTTCCTCTAGATAACGCTGGATGTTTTGGTTGAAATGGGACACAAAGAATTGAAGGAAATTGGAATTAATGCCTATGGCCATCGGCATAAAATAATTAAAGGAGTTGAAAGACTGATTTCTGGGCAGCAAGGTATATGCTTGTTTCAAAATACTATGTAACGTTGTCTTTATAAAATACATTTTTACAAATTCTTCATATTGTTCTAAATATTGAAAACAATTTTTAGTAAAACTTAGTTTATTCTAAAAAGAGCACTTTTAATGAAAAAAGGTCTTTTGATCAGTAATATGAGGGCTTTTAGAGTGCTTTTATTTGTACAGTGCTTTACTGTTAATATTCTAATTTGCTGCCCGTTTTTCCGCCGCGATCCCTGCTCGGCGTCTGCCCGCTGGCTGAAGCGGCGGTTCGGAGCCAGCTGGTGGCCGGGCTGTGCCGCCGCGGAGGGAGCAGTCGCCTCCCTCCGCGCAGGCCGGAGCGCAGAGCTCGTCATCCGTCCGTGGCCAGGGCCCGTTCTGCGCTGCTCCCTTGGCTCCTGCAAGGGAAGCCATAGTGTGTTCCCCAAGAGCGAGCAGAAAGTCTTGTATATCCTTCTCTTCTGAAATACGGTTTGTTTCCAGTGAGCCAAAATGAACGTAGCTGCTTTGTTTAACAGCTTCGGCTTCTATTGAATTTTATGCTAAACCCTTTTGTTTGTGCAGCAGCTTTGTTGATTCCAGCACAATCCTGGGAAAAGCATGCTCCATTTAACTATGGCTGCATGGCAGACAAAAAAGTACGTTATTTTTTTCACTCCCTATCTCATCAAAACATTAACTGCTATTGTTGTGCTGTGTTTCAGAGCGATGGAATAGTTTAGCTAGAATTTGTAAAGTTTTTTTTTTCTGTAAAGATGCCATCTGTGAAATCTCATTCCGAGTCTGGAGTCCAGAATAAGGTGGACTCAATGTCCAAAGCACTAAATTATTTATTTTTGCTCTTCGAGACAAACCAAGCCATAAGATAATCCTTTGCCAGTGATGATGGGGTTTTTTTTGTGGATCTTTTAACTTTTTTGACTTTCAGTTGCTTTTTGACTGATTCATTGAGTACTTTGTTAGGAAACTATTTTTAAGGAGCAGTTCCAGCCCCCGCTTCTTTTGTTTCTTTGTTTGTTTGTTTTTGTTTTTTTCCCCACCCCCAGCACTTAAACAAAATCCCTGTTTTTGCTTATTTAGGCAGTATCTGAAACTGTTGTTGTTTTTTGTTATATTCACAGGACTTAACCCATACCTGACTCTGAATACTTCTGGCAGTGGAACTATACTCATAGATCTTTCCTCTGAAGATAAGGAATTTCAGTCAGTGGAAGAGGAGGTATGCTGCTTGTCACTGTTACCGAGGAAGTAGACAAAGAAGTCTTACTAGACAGTTTAACTGTACGATACACTTTAAGCGTTGTAAGAAAAGAAAGAACTGAAGATGTTTTTAGGTTTTTTTTTCTTTTTTTTTCCTTGTCTGTACTTGACTGCAGCAGTATTGTGGGTATCATTAATATGAACAGTAATTTTTTATTCTTATCTATGTTACTACTGATAGTGGTAAATATCTTTACTGAAAAGTTCTTCGATATAACATAAAAATTCAGTGCTACCAATTGCCTCTCTTAGACATGGGTTTAAGTCACTTCCTTTCCAAAGTATAATAATCACACAAGGCAAATTAGTGAAGAAACAGTGCTCCAATTGTTGTGCTTTTTAATTTAGAAACTAGTGTATAGACTGTTCAAAGTATAGTTTTAAAATGTCCTAAGACCTGTCTGTGAGCCTTCACAATCCAGCATTACTTACACACAATTATTGCCTGAAAGTCTCTTCTATAATATTTTTTAAGACTGATTCTACATTTGATTACCAGAATGTATGAAGGATATTCTGGAGCCAAGTAACACTGTAAAACTCTCAATCCTCAGATGCAGAGCACCGTCCGAGAGCACAGAGACGGGGGACATGCTGGGGGAGTCTTCAACAGATACAACATTTTAAAGGTAGCAGTCACATTTTTATGGTTGCTGGTTACAGTTTCAGTGCTTTGTTTGGGAAGTATCTTTGACTCAGCAGTAAAACGTATGTTCCTTGGCTGAGCTCCATAAGGGATGTGTCATTTTGAGACACGTGCAAGGAAACAATCATGCTCAAGTGAAAAATCACAGAACAAGATCATATGGGAAAAACTGTTTATAGGCCAATAGAGATTAAGGACTTTTAATAGAGAAAGACTAGACTATAGAAGAACTATAGAATAATCCTGTAGGACTTCACAGAAAAGTACAGGATTTTTGAAGAAAAAGACAGGTTATTTAATAGGAGCCAGAGATTTTAGAGATTTTACTCTGTTGATAGAGTACGGAAAAACATGAATCAAGAACCTACAGGAAAACTTGCAGAAACATGTAAGTAAAGGGATCTGGTGTGGCTTGATACCAAGTATGGCTCTATTTAAAGACAAATATTCTTAATATAATAGGAAGCAGACAGCCTTGCTTATAAATAATCTGGAGTTTTGGTTTGCATTCACATTTTTGATTTCCTAAACAAATGACCAAATGGTCATTTTCAGTAAAACTGAAGTTTTTGATTCTTTGACTGGAAACTTTTTGATTTGAAAATAAGTACAAATTTGCACCACACTGATGTTAATTTTTTCCCAGTGGAACACATTACAGTGAGAATGTTAAGCATATTTCTGCATAGGGCAAGATGTCTTGTTTGCTTTTTAACATTCTAGAAGTCTTTGTGGAAGACTTTTTTTTAAATTACTGGATCTTTTTATTAACATTTTATATCAAGCAATGTTTAGAGGGACACTAATTGTGGTGAACTCTTCTAAATTTTAATTAAGAGGAATTACTCAATAGATCTTTAAAATGCATTGGCTGTCATGAAGCTTGTAATTATGGTTTATTCAGTGTTTTGCCGTTTTAACAATCAGTTTTAGAAGCTTTAGAAATTCATCGTTGTTTAATTGACTTCTAAGTAAGGATCAATTCTTGTTTAGTGTTCTAGAGTAGTATATTTGTGATGTGGGTACTATATATTAAATATCAGTCAAAGCAAATGGAAATTTTTGACTTCAAGGTAGAGAAATCTACATTTTTGTCTGTTTCAGATTCAGAAAGTATGCAACAAAAAACTCTGGGAAAGATACACTCACAGGAGGAAAGAGGTCTCTGAAGAGAATCATAACCATGCTAATGAAAGGATGCTGTTTCATGGTAAGATACTGAAACTTATTTACCCATTTCACACTACCAGCACTCTTTAGTAGAGGGTTTCTACTGGTTAAAAGTAAATTTTTTCTTATTGGAAATTGACCCTATTTTTGTGCACTACTATACAATTATACCTGGAACAGAGAATTTATGCCATATGACTGTTCTCTTAGTTTTTTTTTTTAATTTTTTTTTAGTTTACATTAATACATATCTTGAATCATTGTGCAATACACAGAACATAACATGAAAAAAAGCTGTGACTCTTTCCAATTCATTTTCTTTTTTTGTGAGGAATGTTGTTCTGCTTCATAGAAGGCTTTCTTAACGTGAAGGATAAGACTTTGGATTATTTTCATTAAAACTCCTCTTGTAACAGAAATGCTATATTTTCTTAGAGAAAGCTCCTCTTAAAAAGAAAAGCATTCCTAAAGCTTTGGTTAAGATTCCTATTAAAGTTACACATATTAGAAAAATGAATGGGTGTCAAGTGTCTCTGAAGATAGAGAGCCCAGTTTAAATAGATTATTCTTTAAGGCTTTTTTATTCTTTTATGCCCAGCGCAAGTAAATACATATTAGAGGGAGAAACAGAAGAATAATCTATTCTCTTTAAGAGAGTTACTTTAGAGTTTTGACTGGAGTGCATCTATTGTGTTTAAATGTAGTCTACTCAGTGTTGGCAAAGACAAGACTTTTCTGGCAAATTTAAAAAAATCTTGGTTAGAAAAAAGTTGTGCTGAACGGAAAAGGAGTGCTGAATAACAGTGCCTTCCCCTACTGCGGAAGTTGCCTCCAATCTTATGCTTTGTAACTGTAACAATGCACGCGTCTCGCCTACTGTTCTGTGTGTAACACTGCAAGCAATCGGGTCACATACACCTGAGTTGCTTAGCGTTTCTGGAGATACATTTTTATATGTGAAAACTCATACTAAAAATATTGGGGAATGGATGGTAAAATTAAGATAAATACAAGCACATTTCCAAGTATTTATTTAACTTTATTTATTTATTTTAGGCTCCCCCTTTGTGAATGCGATTATTCACAAAGGCTTTGATGAAAGACATGCCTACATAGGTGGCATGTTTGGAGCTGGGATTTATTTTGCAGAAAATTCCTCCAAAAGCAATCAGTATGTATATGGAATTGGAGGTGGCACTGGATGTCCGATTCACAAAGATAGATCTTGTTATGTTTGCCACAGGTAAGTCATGATCTTTAACACAGGGGAATCCAAGGTTGCATTTACACACTTGGCAATTGACCATCAAGTCAGCAGATTGTCTGAAGAAAGATGAGCTTGGCAACAAAACCTTCCCAGTGCTCACCATGTGCCGAGCCTTTCAGAAACCTTTGGCACTGAGGTCTAACAGAACCGTTAAGCATCTTCTGTGCATTTACCTGAGTCCTTGCCCTTAGCTCATGGTAAAAGTCAGGTTAGATTCTCTGCAAATGAAGATCTGCTACACACTTATGTGAAAGATGCAGCAATGCAAGGTTTCAGTCTGCTTCATTGCCTGTTACAGAGGAAGGAGAAATTCGGCAATATTGAGATGATGTGTGCTTTGAGGGTGTGCCCATAAAAGCCTCCACCTCCCTCTGCTTCAGGTAATAAAACATAGGCATGGATTTGTGGAGTCACTACCACTAATCCTGAGTTTTTGTAGGTCTGCTTTTCTGCAGAACCACCTTTTCTGTCCCTTGCAACCTCAGCTATTCTGTGATTCTGTGTTCCCATTGACACCTTCAGTTTAGAATAAGTTGCTCTTTCTTCATGGAGTTCTCATGGTAACGGCCATCATTTCAAGCAGGAAAATAGTGTTTTGGGTACTGCTTCCACTAGTTTCGCAGAGATTAGGTAGCTGTGGCAGTTTCCTTCCTTGAGTCTGTGCAGAGGCCTTTCTTTCAAGTTGCATACCCTTTTCCTGTATCCTTGAATAATCTTCTAGGCTTAAAGAGGCAGTCATTATCTCTTTCTGGTTTCCTGTTCATATTTTTTTCAAATTTTGGTAAGTTCTTTCAATTTGTCTTGTAAAGAGTTTAAAAAGCAAAAGTGTTTTGGCTGAGCATCACAAAATGGTACATAACATTGAACTACAAAAATGCTGAGGTGGTTGCCATTATACTGGAGCATATGGCAAGAAATAGCTGCTTTTGTTCTGATTTTTCTTTCTAATGAAAACATTTTAACATACCATACTGACAAATGCCAGTATTAACATGTTTTGATTTTATCTATAGCTTGTATTGGTTTGTACTTGGCATTGATGATATTGCTGTTACAGAGAACACAAGTGCTGTTGTTATTATGCTGTTATAATGACTGATTTGGGGAATAGTGTTCCCTTAGAAAAGTGCTTTTTTGAAAAGTGACAGCCTGAGTTTCATTGTTAAGCACTCTGTTGCCAGTAATTGTGATTAATATTATTCACTATTAGTGAATAATTAGTCTTTCCCCAAACTAAAGATCTTAAGGAAATGTAAGTTTTATCATTCCAAACAAAAATTCATAATTTTGCTTATTACAAGGACTGGCTAAAGTGGCTCGGGTGTAAGTTTCAAGTTACTAAGATAATCTTACTTTCTGTTGCTTCACAAGTATTATTTTATTTTAATTCATAGTCCTTTTTCCCCTTTTAATATAGGCAATTGCTATTTTGTCGTGTAACCCTGGGCAAGTCTTTCCTGCAGTTCAGTGCTATGAAAATGGCTCATTCTCCCCCAGGACATCACTCCGTTACTGGGCGACCCAGTGTAAATGGACTGGCATTGGCAGAATATGTCATTTATAGAGGGGAGCAGGTAACTTGATTTTTGCTTCTGTTTATTTTTTATTTTATTTTCGAAGCATTATATTTTAAAAGCACATTAGAATTTCTTTTTTTTACTTGAGGGTTGCTAGAACTTGCTTTTGTCTTTGAAGAAACAAGTATAAAAGACTCTGCATTTCCTGAACACTTCAGACATTCTGCCAGTTTGCCATTTTGACATAAATAATGCACTTTTTCCCTCTCTGCATGTATCCAGAAAAATACAATTGTAATAAAGAATGTGTTTGTCATTTTTCAGGCTTATCCAGAATACTTGATTACTTATCAGATTATGAAACCTGAAGCCACCACTGAAGCTTAAGACAAAATACTTATGAGAAGCCATCAGATATGGGATTTGAAGATAACAGCGATCAACATCCTGTTAATTTTTCCAGCATTGTTACAAATTCATCTGCAGGTGGTGTGGTAGCAAATGTGAATGAAATCTTAACATTTTTGACTTGATAAAGCTTTAATAATGTACAGTATGTTTTTCTAAAGTTTCAGAAATTTCCTCTTTTTCAGCACTTTAACAGATACCATTCCAGGCATAAACTGGGCTTTGGCTTACTAAATTATAAACAAAAATTAACTTGAACAATGGTTTTATACAATACTACATGAAATTTAGCAGAAATTGTAATGCTATATACAAGAACTCATTTTACTAATACTGTGTTCTTTAAAAACACTGAAAACAATTTCATTTGTAAAACTGTAAATAAGAGCTTTTGTACTAGCCTGGTATTTATTTACATTGCTTTGTAATATAAGTGTTTAGAACTGCAACCTTGTACAAAGTGTTTTTTTCCAAATGTTGGTTTGTTCATCTGTGTTTCCTCTTGCACAATAGATTGGAAAAGCCAGTTTTTTTCAGGGTTTATCATTAATTTGGAAGAGACACAAATTTTATCTGAAGAGATGTAGAAGTATCCAGCATTAGCATAATTACACATATTTTTGTTCTGTATTTTTATTTATGAAATACACATTCCTGAGAATGATGGGCTTTGAGAGTAGAATGTTCCAGGTGAATACTAAAGTGTTCTTTCAGCTACTTCCTATAGTTTCATATTTTATTTCTTTACAGTGTCTTTTAAAGTTTTTATTTAACTATGGTTATAGTTAACTTGCATCCTCACTTCAACTAGACCTTGCATTATAGTTTCGTAAATTATTTTCTTTGAATGTAGTTGGAAAGTTAACCTCAACGAGGTCTTTCTAGATAAGTTCCACTTGCTTACATTTAAGCCAGGAAAACAAATAGGTTATTCCTATATATTAGGGTTAACAACTTCATTTTTTTTTATGATTTTTTTTGTAAATTAATGTACTTGTGGTGCCCTCAGGACATGAATATTATCAGGTGGACATTTTAAAACCATTCTGTCATCTTCTGTTTTCCTTGCATGTTTGTGTTGAAGCTCTCGCTGAAGCACCTGTGCAGGAGTGTGTTTCTCCGCAGTGCTTCTGGCTGAGGAACCAGTTGGGGGGCAGGTGCTGGTCCCCTGCGCTCAGCCTGGCTGGGCGAGGATGTGGGAGCGGGAAGAGCAGCTCCTCCTGCAGCTGCTGGATACGGCAACCCTAGTAAGAGCCCTTGCTTGAGAAAGAGTATAGGAGGTAAAATTGCTCTGATCAGTAAGCCCTGTCTTACCCCTCCTCTGCATTGTTCTTCTGTCCCATCTGCAGTTTTCACCTACGTATTTCAAAAACATGTAAATAAAATACAAATTGTACTTCATTTGGGTTTAATCTTAAAGCGGTTAGGAGCGTATTTTAGTTGCTTGGTATTTCTACATATAGGTTACTGTCCTAGAAGACAATTTGTTCGCAGGGCATGTTATCATACCATGGTTTAAATGTAGTGGTCAAGATAATGAAGTTGTCTTGCTGATGTGATGGTTATGTGATTATGCTCTATGTAAAAATGTATTGAAACTTACCCAGTTATGTGGGGAGTCTGAATAATAAGATTGCATAACTTAACTCTTGCAAGTTATTATATTGGATCTGAATAAAAGAGGCTTTGATTTTTTTTTTTTTTTTTTTTTTAGGTACTTTCTCCCAGCATGTTGCCTCTTCCTTAGGTATAGTAATGCTGGAGTTGGTGTTCATGCAGAATTTAAGTATGTTCAAACACTTTAGTTATAGCTAAAATGCTTCATTCTCTATGAACGATCACTTTGTCTTGTAAAATATTGTGGTATGCTATCATTTAAGTGGTACCACAATGTTGGGCTTGTCTGGGGATTTTTTGAGTTGTGTTTTTTTGCATGACATACCTTGCACTCTGAAGATGGAAGCTGTAATGGTTTGATAATGTTGACTATTGAGGTGAACCTTTAATCTTTTGTGCAATTAGTTCTGCTTTACTCATCCTGAAGTCTTACATGTACTGTATAAGATTCCATTTCCATTTAACACTAAATAAATTTAATTCACTGGTTTTCTAGTAGTATGGGAGTAATTACAGGTGTAATATGTTGTTTTGGATGTAAGCATGCACAGTAATATAAATTTCATAATTAGAGGGGAAAAGAATTTAGACAAGCTTTTGACAGATGACATTGTTAGTGCTGTGGAAATGTGTAGTTTGGTCTTTGGAACTAAAATCTGGCTAACAGTTTTCACTATCAATGCAAATGTTTGAATAACAGCTTCAAGCTTATTTCTAGATTTTTGCATTTGAAACTCCATTATCTATCCCAAAGCTGAAATAGAAAACTGCCTTAAGTTAGTTTTGTAAAATGAGTGATAACATGAAAATTCTGACCTTTCATTGAGTGCGTTGCCTAACTGAGCAATTATAAATGTCCTGCTTAGATTGCTTGTAATGTGGCAGTAAGCAAATAGTTTTATTTCAATAGGACCACTTAGTGATTTCCAAAAGCGGTCTTATATAGGTTTAAATATATATGAGCACTAGAGGGCAGGAAAGCAACTAAAAATCCAAGGTGGTGAAATTCTAGAAGGTATTTGGGGAGCACAAGTTATAATAATTGCTTCTGAAAATTCTACTGATACAGGCCGCAAAACAAAAAAAAAATCCTCCATTAGTTGTTAAAAACACTTAACTAGTATAAAAGTTATTGCAACTAAGCAAAGTGAAAGTATTTTTCTTAACTTTATTTATAACTTAAAGCCTAATTTTTAGAAGTTCAAAAGTAATTTATCAAGCCAATGGATAACTGTATGCAAGAGATGTTCAAGGGGTTTCCAATTGAGATAATTTTTATAGAAAGAGGTGTTCGTCTTTACTACCTTGAGCTTACTCCTTAAGTCACATGGTGCATCCATGCACATTCCTTTCCTCCCTCCCGCCCGTCATTCACCAAGAAGCTGAGGACAAGAGGAAGAGGTGATTCATCCAGGAGCATGGTATTGCTAGGGAGGGTTCTGCACCTTATGAGCAATTTCCCCTTCATCTGGCTGTCTCCTGAACTTAATAGGATAATAAAACAGTTTTTCTCTCTTGTTGGAAATGACAAGAGTCCCCTGGGTGGCTTGCCTTCTGCTTCCTAGTGGAAAAGCGTAGAGGCCCAATGTGCACTCTCTAGTGCAGCCTTAGCAGAGACGAGTGCTTCCTCACCTCCCGTGATCTGGCCAGTCCGCCCTGCGGCGCTGCTTTGCGCTGTGCCCCCTGCGCCCGCCGAGGTGCAGCAGAGGGAAGAGCTGGGGCCGTGGGTGCCGCGGGGGAACGGGCTCCCGTGGCCCCTCCGCAGCGAGCGCAGGCAGGGGCGCCGCTCCCTCAGCCGCGCTGGCGCTGCAGGCACCGGGAGCAGAACGGGAAAGGCACGTGGGTGACCGGCTCGAAGTTGGTGTGCTGCCCCAGGAGGGGGACACGGTTGGAAACTGGAAGAAGCAGGTGGGAGTGGTGAGACAATAAGAAGTAATAACATAGATTTCTTTGGGTATTGCCATAAGTTCTCAAGAGTTATAGTAGAACTGTTAATGATTGTTAGGAATGGCTAAGATAATGATAGTACATTGGCTTCCACCTGTGGTAGGAATCATCTCTGTCGCATTTTGAGTCAAAACCAAAAGCCAACAGCTGTTGATTATCCAGGGTTATCCAAATAGCTACTCCTGAGAAGAACATGCATGTTTAGGAGCAGAAAGTTGCACCAACTCAGAGCATTAATGAGCTAAAACCTGGGACATGAGTGCAAGAAAAAGAACTAGGATTCAGACTGAAAGTAAATGTCTTATACCATAGGTCTTAAAAAAACATTGTTTTGTTTTTAAGCACTGGTTATCCAATAACTATTATTAATAAATGAAAATATATCTCATAAAATTATTTGCCTGGGTTGTGCCAGCAGTAGGGCATGGTGAGGAGGATGTTGTAACTTTAATGCAGACGGAAGGATGGAAGTGGAGGGCAGGTGCATGTTTCCTTTTTGTGGTGTGTAATGTTGGAAGTGCTGTGCATAATCTGCAGCAGTAACCAGGCGAGGAGTGAGTGCAGTTCAGGTGTGTTTCAACTGGGGTCTTAATGGGGATAGGGTAAAAGGGGTGCTTTCCAAGTGTGGTCAAGTGCAATGTGTGTGACACTTTTAAGAGTTTAAAAACTGCTGCTGTTGGGGGGGAAAAAAGTGATTAAATCCTTTTGCTTTAGGTAATAAATATCAATGACAATGCACCTTTTTCATAAAACAAACACTAATTCAGAAGTCAAGGACAAGAACTGGGAGACTTTGTAGTACCTTACAAAGCAACAAAAACTCACAAGTAAAAAAATCTAACTAAGAACAGTTTAACTCACAGCGTAATCTCAATAGTAAGGTAAGAGACCTCTTAACCACATGTTATAGAAAATGTTATGTAATGCAAAGATTATAAAACAGTAATCACACATAGAAATAAATTTGACTTTAAAGTAAGGAAATAGTAATGAAGCTTATTTCTAAAGATTAAGAATGTGAAAATGCATTAGAAATGGAGATTCCATTAGAAATGAAGGAGTGTTGAAAAAAGGAAGTTTTTTTTAAAAAAAAAAAAAAAAAAAAAAAAGGAGGGGTCTCTTTTGGAGGCTAGAGCTCTGTGAATGGAGGAAAGCACTACTTTTAAAGGTAGTGAAGAGTAAGTCAGATTGGTGAATTTCTAAACTGATTCTGTAAAGTGAACCTCCTATGCCAAGCTGCCACCTAAGTATCTTAAATGTCTTTAAAAGCCTATGAGTGTGAGTATAATGAGACCAGAATTGAAATGGTGTGGCAGAATGGTGGATGCAACTCTGGGAATAATCCATTATGGATAAGGATTGGACAAAAACAGGGAAACCTACTGTCTTCATGTAACAGCATAATAGACCATATTCCAAAAGCAACATGT